GGGAGAAGGTAGAAGAGTAAGTCCAGGAAGGAAAGGGAGGTTGGGGGAAAGTGTTCAATTACCAACTTCTAATTTTAATTGGTAATAAATTAACTTTCCCAAGGCCAGTTTGTTTCATTTGTCGTGGGTATGTGTAAGTAATGTCCCTGTCTCAACCCATGAATTTTCTCATTCTGTGTTCTCAGTCTGCTGAGAGGAGGGTGTCAGTAGGTCCACCAACTAGTCTGGGTTAACCCACCACAAAAGGTTTATTCATCTAGAAATCTGCACCATTTAAATAAAGATAGGAAAAATGGGTCACTTAGCCAGTTGAGGATCAGTATCTTTTTATGGAATTCCAACATGTTGACACTCTTTTCACTTTGTGTATCCAGCTCACATAAAACTGGCTGTCAGATTTCCTTCTTCACAACAATTTGCCTATCAAGTTTTCTTGATCTGTTTTTTATCCTGTGCAAAGCTAACTGCCGCAGAAAAGCAGCAACAGTACTCTGTATTCCTCGCTACCAATTTAACAAGTCCTTTCACATTTGCAAATACAGGCTTTGTATACTTGCAAAATATACTTGGTATACTTGGTATACTTGCAAAACTACTTGAATCAAGTTGCATTTCTGAAGGTAATTTTTCACAATCACTTTTGTCAACCCAAGCAAGCTGATTTTTCCTCAGCATGTTTTAGGTCAAAGAAACCAGTTCAAATAGTTTTAGAGCCAAAGTGTCTTTAAGCTACAAGTTTGAGACCCACTGTTAAGTAAGCAGAAGTACTTGAATTCATAATCTAGCCAAAACCTGTACAAAGGAGGTCCTTTTTATAATAAACTGAGGGGAGAAGTTGTCTATGGCTATAATATTATAAAGGATGATGGGTAACTTGCTTAGGGTGGTAACCTGGCTTCAGCTGAAGGATGGACTTCCCACAACTAAGAGAGAACATAAAGGCTACAGACACAATTTACAGACAGTTTCCTGTCCTAGAGCTGAACACTGTTGAAGTACTCTAGTCGGCAGTGACAGGAATGGCAGCGTATGGTGAGTGGTGTAAGATATCCCAGTGTTTAAGCAAAGAAAAGAGCGATACAAATGTGTTGAGTGTTCTATTTATCATGTGCCCACTGAAATAGGAAACTCCACTGGGCTTACTTACTCAGGGTGCACTGAGAGAAGACTTACAGAAGTCCACAGCTGGAGCCTGAAGCCTCCTACACAGCAGACACAAGGCACCTAGCTACTCTTTCCTTACTTTTTTTCAAGTTACTGTTTCCTATCCAAAAAAACTCCAAACCCCCTCAAAAACCCCAACAAAAGCAAAAGAATAAAACAAAACCAAAAACCCCAAACAATACAAAATAAAAACCTTGAAACAAAACAAACCAAAACCACCCAAACAGAACAAACCAAAACCCTCTCCCCTGAAAAAAGCATCTCCAAATAAACTCCATGGGCAGCTCTCTAAGATGGTTACTTCAACTCATCTGTACACTTACTGGCTTTGAAGCTTCTATTTGTTCCATTCTCAGAACAGACTAAAAGAGCTGTTCCTTTTTAGATTAATTACTCCTAGTTTTTAAGACTGATTCTTTCAGTTTTGTGAAACTGAATTTTTTAAAAACATGTTTGCTACTGATGCTTGACGTCTTGTTTGAAATACAGTGCTAATTTCTAGGATCAATTTATTCCCCAAGACTGAAAGGGATTTTCATGCAGGCTGAGAATACATGTTCTGTCTTCAAAATGGAAGCCACAGTTACAGAAATTGACACCACAGAATGTAGGTTTACTGATCTTGCATATCTTCCTACCATTCTCCACCAAGACCACATACCAAGTTCTAATATGAGTCATCCTGCAGGCCCCTTCCAGATAACCATCGAAAGTCAGATTACATTTAGCACTCAAGGGAGAAAAGTATGGAACAGCTCTGCCGTGTAGACAAACTGTTCTTCAGCTATGTCCCACCTGCTACCACTAGCTCTGGTACAGACTTGTTAGATCTTGTCTATTTGATTAGTGTTTTTCCAGGACTGCAATCCAACCCAGACTGACAGACATTAAAGACAGGTCTTACTGGCACAGAACAGCCCCACTCATCTCAACAGTCGTCAGTTTGTGTATGACAGCTGAAATTTTCCTGTTCATTGCACTTCTCCCAACACTTTATTTCTTCATAAAAGAATACTCTACTTGACAGACAATCTTGAAGGTATGGTAACACACTACAAGGATGCACTAGATTTAGAATCACAACATGTAGAGGCTTCCTTTGCTTTAATTAAGTACTTAGTACTCTGCTTCAGAAATATGTATTTTAATAGAGAACATAGTAGATTCTCAAAGCCATCAAAATGAGGGAAAAACACAAGAAAGCAATTTAGAAAATGCTGTGGATATAAATTTTTTCAGATGGGCATAGCGAATTCTAATCAACTGTTTCCTGCCTCCACTAAGAATAACTAATGTTTCTGCATTATGCCCTTGTATCCTGAAAGTTACCAGCTGCTTGCTTTTCATATACTTCAAATAGTAAGTCACACAATGCTTTTTTATGAGAAATAGTAACCTACAGTAGCAGAAGACTCATCTGCTTGTACTTCGATAGGGAAGCAGATGGACACAAACAGCAAATTTTTCCATCCTGTTTTTTTTTGTCTTAGATCAACAATAAATCTGGTGTCAACCATCAACTTTGCAGAGAATACTTAGCCTAGCTACCAGTGACTTCTCTGTATCACATCTGATTTCAAAAACCACCTTCCTCGCTAGGAAACCAGCCAGAACTCCCATTTTACCTTCTTTCAACTCAGACGATTTTTGCATTCTTTGGCCAAGCTTATCTTCCACACAGCTCTAACACCAGCTGTCTAGTAACACCCAGCACCTCTTAGCAGTATTCCTACCCCGATCTAGGGTAAAACATTACTGCAATGAATGAAAACAACTCATACAGCCTTTAATCATGCTAAAAATCAAGTGTCACCAATCAAGTTTTGCTTTTATTCACAAAGACAGAAATTTGCAACAAATCAGACATACCTCATAATTAAAATATTTAACAAGGATTAAATCCTGAGACAGCAGAAGTTATTGCTTCACTTAAAGTTTCAGAAATTGCCAACAGGCATTTTTATATTTTTGGCTCCCAGTATGAATTCTTCACACAGTATTTTCAAAGCTTTAAATCAGAGGCAAAACACAAAAAACTGAGGAAGGTGGTAAATATCAGTGCAGCTTTAGTTAACTAGCTGTGCATCAGCTAGAGTACAGTACAACATATTTGTTGAGATTCAAGACACAGGAGTTTCAGTTCGTAATTCTGATTTTCAAATCACTAATAGCACTTTCAAATTATATAGGGATTGTACTTTCAAATCAAATACAATCAAGTGAGTGATGATTAATGCACATTAATGAATAAACCCACAGGTTTTAAAATACTGATGGCCAGTTCATTATGATTACAGTAATTAAACCTCTTACCCTAGTCCATGAGTAAGTGACAATCTTTTTTAATGTCCTTGCAACCAATGACACTGGTTACTTCCACTATTACACAGAACTACAGAACAACCCAGAGGAAAAAATACCTAACTGGAGAGTTGTTATCCATCACAGCTCACACAAATTAACTGTCACACAATTTTCTTTCATGTGCTCTGCAAACTTACCAGTACTAGCATGTTTCTACTCGAGATGATGATGCCTGCACAAAATCTGCTCTGCGTGACATTAGGCAATACTCATGAGATTAAAAAAAACACTTAAATTTGTAGTGTGGTAATGATATAGTCAAATGTTTTATATATAATTTGTCAAAAAACATGGAAGTTCCTTCAAATACACTAGGTTCTTTGAATTTCAGAAATTACCCTTAACTGTAAATCACTGTACTAAAAAAACCCCAAAACCTAGTAAGTATAAAAAAAGAGGTCAGTAGCTCCTGACTTCAAAGCTCGTCAATTAAAATTGGAAGATACTCTAAAACACAGCCATTTATAAAACCCATCCTATGAAAATAAAATAAGAGCAATCCAGAATATTAGATAGCTTTTCAAGATTACTCTTTTAGGTACTTTTCCTTATGGAAAGGAAACCTTATTTTAAGAAACAGTAAAATGTATTAGCAAGTGCAATACTGACACACTACCAAAAGTTTCTCCAGAGGAGATACCAAAATTAGCCAATTCTAAGAAATTGGAAGGTAACCTAAAATTTAGAGTAGATTAATTATAAGGCATCCACTTACAGGAGTGCGGACTTAGCACCCTTACATATGAGAGAGCAAGTCACATGCTCATGTGCTGATAGTGAAAGATCCCAACAGGAACAAAACCACAAGATGGTAGTTAGGCTGAACTCAGCCACTCATGCCGTAGCACCGAAGAGACAGGAAAAGGGGTAGAACTAAGTTTTTTAACAGAAACATACAATTTGGATAAACAATTACCACATTCCATCATAATATTGATTTCTCTGCATTGTGCATTTGCCAAGGACTCAATGCAGCCTCCATGAGTACCACAGTTTTGAGTGACTTTTTCCAGTGACAAAAGTAATGCTCAGGACTTTGCCACCTCTGCCCTGCTCCCACAGGAACAGGTGGAGATCAGACTTGAACAGGACGGATAGGACTGTTAGGTGGTACTCCATGTATCAGTGAAGTACAATTTTACATAGCATCAAAATAATTCCATAAAGCCCTTCCATTACAATTGCCAGCATTTATTATGCTAATATTACCTCATCAAGTGCAGTTTTCATTTTAAGAATCCCACTAGCCAAACTGCCGCTTCAGTGGAAGAGCCAAGGTGAACTGCATTCAGAAAAGTACTATATCCCCAAGACAGCAGTAGTCTTTAAATAGTCAAACTGCCAAAGAAACACCATTTGCTGAAGTATTTAAATTCTTGCTGAAGTCTCTGGCATCTTATTAGAAAGTGCTTGCCACAAGGGCATTCTGCAACAGAAATAACCCTATTAGCCCTGCAGCATTGCTGTCAAAATTAAAAGACAAAAAGGTCATAAGTACAGGACCAGCCAGAAGAAAATGTCCAGTTTGGAAACCTCTCCAATAAGGCATAGAGTTGAGGTGACTTTTGATCTTCCCCAAAAAAGTAATGTGCTGCTATGGCAAGGGAAACTATTCCATCAGAATGCGTTTCTGGGACCTGAAAGTGAGAAAAGGAAAACACAGTCTTTATGATTGTTCATGACTTTTCAGCATGATATCAATTCAGATGCACTTTTCTGCCGACAGCTTCTATGCAACAAAATCCATCCTGCGGTTCTTTGTCCTACGTTAAAACATTTCCCATCTTCAGCATATCAGTCTGATTACATGATGAGTTCAATTTGAAATGAACTGACAACCAGATGTTTATATCACAGTGCCTCTGATGTGTTATTACACACTTCCACGTGCTCCAACTTAAATGTTTGTATCTGTCTGTTTTGCTGACAAATCAAGATATGGACTCCAACACACTGTTTACACTGATCCTTCTATGGCAAATCCTGAAGATACACAGCCCCTTTCTGCCTAGCTTTGCCGCTATCAGTCTTGCAAAGCTTGTCACACCTGAGACTCCAGTCTGCTTTATCAAGTACCCTATGAGGATTATTTGTGTTTAGACTGCCTGGTGCAAGAAGGAAAAAGGAACTTTCTGAATTTTCAAGGATACTTGTAATATTTATCGAAGGATAAGACACTGTTAAACCTGTAGTAAAAACATACAGGTCTGCAAAAACTTACTCCTTTGCAAGTTAAAAGGGTGGGGAGGCAGATCATAAATCCCACTGAAACAACAAGGTTGGAAGCCTTGCTTCCAGCTGAAAATAATGTAAAAGAAACTTTAGAAAAAAAAAGTTTTTACAACTCTGTTCAGTTTCAAGACAGGTAAATTTTCCACCAAGGACTCTGTAATTTCCCAAAACCAATCAAACAAGACAAGAGAAAAGGAAAGCGAATTACTCATAATAATAAAAATAAACTCTGAAGTAACAGTAGTAAAGATAAAACTTCACATACTTTGAGGTAAAGATTGGAGAAATCAAAACTTATGATCAAAGACCATGCAGACAAGAAAAGTATTTTTCCCTTGGCTGTTTGTCAAGTTGGCAGACTAGTCATGGAAAATACATGGGAACTGATCTAGAGAGCTGACATATGAAAAGAGGGATACTAGAATTAAGATCTGCCACATAGAACAAAGCTTTAGGAAGTTGCTGTGACATTTTTCACACAAGAATGCAGCCATGGTGGGAAGAGGGCGGACCAAGGCATCACCAGGTTTCCAGCAGTGCCGCACTCACCGTCAGTTCCACCCAGAAGTGCCAGGGAGCCGCATGCAGCCCGTGGGAGTAGAATACAAAGTAGTCTCCCCCAATGCTGGGGACCGGCATTCCATCTCCGAGGGACCAGCGGGACAGCGCCGACCCCGCGCGTGGCCGCACGTACAGGGACATGTGGCTTGGGCCTGCGGGGACAGAGATGTGTGTCCACATGGATCCACGGGCAGAGACAGAATAACCACCTGCTTTCCCATGGAACAGCACGTCATCCTTGAGCTACTACTCATGTCTTCTAAAGCATGACAGAAATGTCTTCTCTACAGAAGATGCTTCAATATTTTCTAAGCATTGGGATAAGTGAGATGATGTAACAGAGGAATACAGGACATTTTATAATAATAAATATAATATAGTCACACACATACTAACATACAAAGTGCTACAAGATCAAGTTTAGAAAGGACCTGTGTAAAACAATCAAGACTAATTCAAGACAGATGAGGCTATCAGTCCTAGAAATAAGAACAGCAAGAACCACTCACAGCTTCTACTGTGCTGTGAAACTGAATTAATTCATGCTAATCTCAGAAAGTTCACTGTATCTTGGGAATGGCACTAGAACCCACAGTACTGGAGTCAAAGCCTGATTTATTAAGGGCATAAACACAAATCATAAAACAAAAACTTCAGTCACTCACCAGACACTTCAAAGCTTAACCTCACAGAATTCCAGGGCATCGGCTTCTTGGACAGAAGTTTAAACTGAATGGGACTTCTTGGCAAAATTTCTGGAGCAGGAAGATACCAGTTTTTCCTGTGGAGAAAAAATAGTTTCAAGTTACTCTCAATGCAACACCCTGATGTACTAAACATCAGCAGACAAGAAGTTTCTCTACAGTACAGATGACTGTGCTGCTATTACATGAAATATTCAAGAAGTGTTGATGCTAGCAGAAGGCAGGTAAAATCAGCAAGTGGCCAGACAAATATTTAAAGGGCATATTAACAGAAAAATAGTCAGCACTGTATCAATTCATTACCTTCATCTGCCTTAAATTACAAAACAAATGAGTATTTTCACCTTCAAATGGCTGAACTTTTGTTCTCAAGATTCCTGAGGTGTGAGAAATAGCCACAGCAGCTGGTTTCCTTCTGTGGAGAGCTGCTACTCTAGACATCCTCTGCTGTCAGCTGCGGTGAAGGAAGGGAAGAAGGGAGGAGACATACATCCTCCTACTCTGATCTGCCCTTTAGGGGCCCCCCTTCACCTTTTTCTCCACTGGTGCTTACATCTGTTTTCCACACATAATTTCTGCAGCTCCTGCAGCAGACCCATAAATCTCTTGCAGAACTGTGTCAGAAGACAAAGCATCTAGGCAGAAGTTTGTCCTCTGAAGAGGAAGGATTATTTACTTTTAGACCAAGATTATCCTTTGTTTTTCTTCCCTTACATAAGCAAAATTGCATAAATGACCCCTGTACTTTGCAGTAAAGTGCTCAAATGAAGCAGATTTCACACGAACCGGAACATGAAATGCACTGGCAGAATCCAAGGAAGGCCACAGAAGGGAGCTTGCTCCTCACATGGAGTTCTGATGGTGTCATTGATTTCAGGTACATGGGGAGTTATGTGAGATATTCCATTATAATCAAACCCATTAATCCATATACCAGAGTCACTTTTAATCACATTTCCATCTAGATCATGAAATCTTCTGCTTGTGTGCTAGAAAAAAAGAAACAAACACAGAAAGATAATGGAGCCTCTGGAGTTTCCAACAGTGAGAGGTGATTCTGAAATAACCCCCCTGTGAATCCTTAAAGTCTACTGCGTTTTCAGTAAACCTTTCAGCACTGAACATGTATCTGAGTATTTATGAATAAAAATGCAAGAATTATTCAGATAAGAAACATACCACAAAAACACAATCAGAAGATGACCATTTTAGTTCACCTCAAACTACATCCACTTTTTAAATTACCATTGCTTACACAATTCACCCATTTAAAACGCCCTAAAACCCCCTGCTCTTCTGACACAGATGAGCTGAACAGAGAGTGGACAAGGGAAACAAGAGCACTTGCTTCAAATTGAGGAATACTCATTAGAGCTTTTAAACCAAAAAAGAAAGGGAATATTAAGCATTGAAAAAAACCAAACACTCCTGCAACCAAAAGGAGCAATACAACATGCAAAGCTTTTCTTACCTGGAGAAAGACTCGCTTAGGCTTTGGGTTAGCAGCATCAGAACTGTAAGGAAAGAAGATTCCACTACAAACGAGAATCAGAGTGACTACAAACACAGTAGTTAAAGTTACTAGTGTCGTTTTGGTACTTTTGACAAGGTAAATGAAGTTAATCTAGAGAATAAAAAAACAGTCCAGTTACAAAACTGCAACACTTATATCTAAGACACTATTTGCATAATTCTAAAATTCAATTATGAAACTGAAGGTACATTAAGAAAACGTAATTGCAAGTACTGCCTCATACAAGACACTTCTTTTTAATCTTAGTATTTAAAACTAGGGTTTTTAAGATGATTTCTTTTTTACAGAAAAGGAATAAAGTAAGTACTTCCTGGAGCTTTCAAAACTTTCCTGTTTTTAAAACAACTGCTGACAAAAAAAAAGCCCAACAGAACCTTTCCAGGTTCTATGGCAGCAGAAAAAGCCTACAAACTTGAGTATTCTTTCTGAAGTTTGTACATGTAATGTTCAGCCATACATTACATCTAAAATGAATCTCTGCTCAAAATTCAGCATTACATTTTGTATTTTATGTCACGTTATGCATTTTACTACATCATCATAGAGCAATATAAGCTCTGCTTCAATGACCTTTCTTCCACTAACAAAAAACATGAAATCTTTGACAGATCTTCTAGAACTTTCCTTTTAAGAAACTGACATTTAAGATTTTTAATTAAAAAACTCATCTTATGCTAAACTATAGAGGAGAAAGTAGTTTAAGAGTTTTAAACAACATTTACAAAATCTACTTACAAAATAGGAAGACAGGATCATAGTGAAGATCACAATAAATCCTGCCAACACCATATCTGGTGGAATTTCTGAACCACTTCGTCCCATGACAGGTGTAAACATTTCAAACACAGTCCAACTAAGATACAGCATATACAGATAGGGAACAAACATCCCCAGCATGTACATCACAATAAACTTTATTGTGGCACCTATACAGAACAGGAAAAAAACAAAAGACAAAAAGGTAAAAAGGTAAAAGCTTAAAAGGACATAAACATACATCTTTACTGATATATCCACAAGGATATATTGCTGCCAAGACCCAAGACACAATACCGGTCCTCATCCCTGACACTGGATATGGAAAGGAGATCTCATTTTGCACAGCCAACACCATTGTAATTATAATGTATAATTTTCAAATCCACCACAAAATTAATTCTGCTTTACAAGAAAAATGCAAACAATTTCCTGTCCCAAGTATTCTTTAAATATTACAAGATTTTTATTAACCTTTACTTTTCAACAAAATCCTGATCACTTATTAATAGACTCACATACAGTTATTTTAGCCTGAGACAGAGGATGTTTTTCAGTGTATTTTTTTAAAGCTTCTCACACTTTCAAACTGCCTCTAGTTCAAGAACACTTCTTTCATTACAAAAATGTGACTTAGTTAATTTGACTACTCAAAGTCAATGTTTGCAATCTTTTTGTTCAAATAAGAGTAGGGGTACAAGTTTTGAAACACAATTTCTGCCCCTCAAAACCCATACCTTTTTGGCTGAATTCCTTGTGGATCATCAGCTTAGTGAGTAAAGGAAATGCTACCCATAACGTACAAATGAATGCTGAACAAAGGCCCTTCTGAGTCATCACAGCCAATGCTATTGACCAAATCATCAATGAGGCATCAAAAAAAACATCTCCCAGGTACTGCTCATTCACATTCTGTAGCAAAAAGTAAATACAGTTCATTACTGTGCACATTCCATAGATCCCATTTCATGAGAACACAGAGAAAAATCCATACTCCTTGTATATAACTGTTTTCCTTGGGCAAAACAATTTTAACAAGCATCATCTCACCATTCTCTTACCATACAGAACTATTGATGACAGTATATTTTTTTATTAGTTTTCTAAATCTGCTGACATAACTTGAAAAAGAGATTACATAGGCTGGGAAAGAAGGAGGAAGGGAATGTACAAATGACCACACAAAAGAATACACAAAGCTAGTGTTTTAGGAAACGAGGATCTTTTTTAAAAAAATGTAACACAGCACATTAAAAAACTACATAATACTTACGAGTGAAAAAAATTATCTGGACATCTTGAGAATGTAAATTTGCTTTTGAACAGCTGTTAACAGACTTCTTACACAAGCACTGTTATTAGTGCACAAATATTATACCACTTTAGGTGACTCTTTTAGGTCATGCCCAAACTGTCACTTCAGAAATCTGATTATTAAAATATGTTACTTGTTTTGAATAAAAGATATCATAGGTGAGACAATACCAGATGTGTTTCAGGGGAAATAAAAAAAAGAAGAATTTTAACCATCAAAAACGTGATTTGATTTGGTTTTGGGTTTTTTTTTTAAGTTACATGGGCAATATAAGTGTTTGCAGTGCATGACTCCTAACTGCAAATCCTGCTAAGTAGCAAGAGGGACTGTTTGCATGATCAATGGTTATAAGAAAGCACCTACTTCAGTTTTGGGGTGAGAAGAAAAAAACGGAGAAGAGTGAAGAAACATACAAGTTGCCAAACCTATTTCAAAACATAAAGCTTATCAACTCATAAGCTGTTGAGCCATGAACAGGCACTGCCTCTGATAGCAAAAGAAGAGACTGGCTTCCAAAATTTTTACGCAACTTTTAAGTCAAATTCAAGTTACAGAAGCAACATTAACTGTACAGTGTGGTACAAGCTACAGCATGCAATGCTTCTGATTTTCAGATGGTTGATCTGATGATTAGGCAATGAAGTAGATACAGAGCCTGCAAGGTCTTAACAGCTAATGAAAGTATAAGCCAGCTCATCCAGAAGACTGGAAAATGGTAACATTGCATTTATTTTATAAATGGCTCTTCTTTTCCACAAAGGGAAAACACCAAATACATGTATTTGGTAACATACATGTACCAGTCACACTCCCCTTCCCCAAAAACTTTCTAAAAACCCCACTTCCACAGAGAAAGACATGATGGCTCCACTCTGAACTTTTCGTACAATCAAATGGCATGAAGTTCTTAAAGCTTTTTCAAACATTTATATTTGGCTGACAACTAAGGCTCCTTAATTCGCTTATCCAAAACCCACCCAAATGGCTGAGATGGTAAGTAACTGCAAGCTGAATGACTAAATATTACTGCACCTAAAACCTCAACCTAGCAGGCCTGAGTAGTCAACTTCTGGCCTAGAAGAGTTTAATCTATCAGATACCCCAAAACTATTTGTATTTAACACAAAACCATGTGGTACTGTTATTATCTATAATTATGAAATCATTACACACATTAAATTGCATTGATTAGTCCATAAAAAAGAATACTAAGCAAAACAGGTAGACAGACAGTAATCATGACAAATGACAGCAATCCTCACTGAGCCTTTCGGGGCCTAAGTAAATTTTATCACAGAGAAAAACAGAGACAACGAAGAGCTCTGTTCCATCTCCAGCTGTGGTCAAAACAACTACAAATCAGAAAAATCACAGAACTGTTTAGGTTGAAAAATACCTTTGAGATCATTTGATCTAAGCTTTACACTGCCAAGGCTACTGGTAAATCATGTCCCTAAATGACACATCTAGCCATCTTTTAAATATGTCTAGTGACCCAATCCTTTCCTTGGGCAGTCTGTTTTGGAGCTTGATAATCCTTTCCATAAAGAAATGTCTCTTAATATCTTATCTGAACCTTCCCTGGCATAACTTGCCATTTCCTCTTACCCTGCTGCTTGTTGCCTGGGAGAAGAAACCAAACCCCACCTGGCTACACTCTCTTTTCAGGCAAATGTAGAGAGTGGTAAGGTCCCCCCGAGTTTCCTTTTCTCCACCCTAAACAGCCCCAGCTCCCTCAACTGTTCCTACAGGACTTGTGCTCCAGACCCTTCTCCAGCCTCACTGCCTTTCTCTGGACATGGTCCAGCACCTCTGTGTCTTTCCTGTACTGAGGGGCCCAGAATTGAACACAGGATTTGAAGTGTGGTCTCACCCGTGCCAAGTACAATCCCTGTACTTCGTCGTTTGTACAAGGGACAATCCCTGCCCTGCTCCTGCTGGCCACACTATTGCTGGCACAGGCCAGGATGCCATTGGCCTCCTTGGCCACCTGGGCACTGCTGGCTCCTGTTCAGCTGCTGTCACCAGCACCCCCAGGGCCTTTTCCTCTGGGCAGCTTTCCAGCCATTCTGCCCCAGCCTGTGGCACTGCCTGGGGCTGTTGTGACCCAAGACACCAAGGCTCCTGCCTTTTTTCTGAAACATCTCCTAAAGGTCAAAGCTTCCTTAAATCATATACCTCTTGCCTCTCTGAGTTAGCAGAACAATCCCTATGTTTAGATGAAGCAATTTTTTACAGTGACATTTTAAATAATGGAAACTTTTTGCCATTTTTTTTAACCAGCTCAAAAGGTAGGTCCTCCACAGATTAAACACCTCATTGCCCTTCAACAATAACAACAAAGTCTTGCCTACCTTGTAGAAGAATTTCTTGGCTAGCATGTGCACAAGAATGAGTTTAGCTGCAGCTGCAGTGCCATAAAGAGACACAGAAACATAGAAATGGGTGTACCAAGAAAGAGCCCTCCCAATGATGGAGACAAACATTGCCACCATTAGGACTGCCACCAGTGTGCACACCCAGCTCGTCAAGGTTAAACTGAATGCAGTCAGTAACTTCTTCAGGTTATGAACAGCTAAGAAGAAAAAAAGTTTCATTCAACACTTGTGTATTCTACTGCAGACATTCATCAAAATTTTAATTACCCCATAGTGTAACTAATGACCAAAATATCTGTGAAGGTATTTTAACAGCATAGTTTGCATCACTTAGCCTATTTCTTTGCATGTGTATTTGCACACATTCCTGCAGCAAGGTTTGCTCCCAGAATACTGGTGTATTTTGCAGATTACAGCATTCTTGATAGCAGAAATTTTTACTAGGGGACTGGTGGAGCTGTGGTTCCTCTTATACAAAAGAACGCAACAAGAAACCCAACAAAAAACAACAACAAAAACTCCAAACCAAAAGAAACTCCCCCTCCCAAAAATACAAAAATCAAGCCAAACAAACCACCAAAAAAAAACCCCCAAGTCCCCCTCCTCGTTCCCAAAAAAAACCCCAACAACAAAAAAAATTGTTTTTCCTGTAACATTTGCTTACTCCAAAAAGGTTTTCTTGATTTTGAGGAGATGGGTGTCTTTTCTTAAGCCTTTTTTCTTTTAAACATACATGTTCATGCACATACTAAGAAGGTCTAACTAGATTTAAGTTGGTTTATACTCTGTATTAAGCTTTTCTGTCATTGTCCCCATTTTTTTTCTTAGTTGGTCCTGTCTATAGACAGGTGTTGAAGAAACACAGTTATGACACCATATCTGAATTAACAAAATTAAAAATTATATGGATACTAGGCAATTTTTTTCAATTTCCAGATCTTTGAAAGATTTCATTTTAATCTTCATGAAATGATAAGAGACAAAATCATGATTCATAAATGCTAGACATCTAGGCCCACCATATTCATTCATTATCATAAACATTCAGATGTAAGTTTTAAACACAAAGTAACTTCTGTGGCATGCTGCACACCTAAAATTTATTTCTGAGGTTCAACTAACCAGATGCTGTGATTGCCTGAACACTTTATGACCTACACTTTTGCATCTAGTAACTGCTATTTCTTAAACAGTAATGCAAATAAAAAAGAAAAAAAGAACAAAAATCACCAAGACTTACCTCTGGGTTTTGGCTGTAATACTTTTTTGCTTAAATAAAAAAAAGCAACCGTTGCTGTAATATAGTTCATAATTGTGCCAACACGAGCAGGATAAGCCAGGACAAATAAACCAAGTATATCAAAGAACACAACATTTCCATGCCGATACTCAAAAGATTTAGCCAGTTTTTCTGATGTAGCTAGGTATTTTAGGACAGCTAAAATATTGTCACCTATTAAAAGAACAGATACAAAATATAATTTTATCAACACTGATAAATTACCACACAGCATTTTTTAAATAACCATTCTGAAAAGCTGTAAAGAAATATCCTTAATGAAGACATGAATACACAAATAATTATTCTCAAACTGGTGTTCGACAGTACACACAGAATAGTATTTTCATGAGTTATTCTATCCAGCTGTCAAAATAAGTATACTTGGGAAGTCTCATGAACTTAGACACCACCACAGTGAAGGCAACAGTCAGGCTTTCAGCCCATAAACTCTTCTTCACTTCTGGTATTTAGCACTGGACTTGAAGACTAACCCATAGACGAGTTTAGAATTTCCTAATCTTCCTCCTCTTCTTCTCACCACTAAGTGACCCCTCCAGGTTTCCATGACTATGAATTACCTGCCTTTCTTTCCCTACAGGACTGTAAAGACAAGGCCACTGTTTTCCTTTGTAGCCTCCAGGCACCAATCACCTTTTCCTCTCACACAGGTAAACAAATGAGAACAATCATTCTCTACTTTCATTTTGCTTTTACTACATCATTTGAAGTGCTTACTGGTTGTAAAGTCTGTCTTCTTTTTCTTTTTTTTCCTAAATCTGTGATATATTTAGTGGGACAAGTTCTACATAAAACCATCATGCCTACTAAAATCATCTTTCCAATAAGAATTTAGAAGTGTTACGTTCTGTCCTGTAGCTAAATTGATGCAAGGAAGTATTTAAAACTCTTATTCATGCTGGTCATCTAAGCTGGTCTCTATATAAACTTGAAGAGTGAATTGTCAAAATCCTGGAGGCATTTGGATTATTCTAGCTTTTCCTGGGAAACTAAGGCCCTTAGTAATTTTCAGTCTGAAAACAGCCTGCTATGAGCACAACCTGTTGTAGATTGTAGAAAATAAAACCTGTTTACCCAGTCAGTGTGCTACCACATAAGTTTGACCAAGGTCTGTCCTAAAACAAAAATCTGTGCTGGCAGATCAGTCTCTATGCCACCAACCTACCCAAAAGCTTCTGATGAGAAACATTAACCAATAATGAGACTTAGTGAGATAAATGGAACATGGAATGCTGAAGAGTCAGGTATCAGTGGATAGACAGTAACTTTGATTTGAAAGCGATTGTGGAATCCAATAAATATCACTGGATGCTGATAAAGTTTATCCTCCCAGTTGACCAAATATATTTCCTTTTTATTTAAAAGATATGTATTCAGCTAATTCTTTCTTCTTGAGAATACAACCAACATGTACCTAATGTGTAATTAAAATTATTAATTTATCACTAAAGCAGTCTTACAGCAAAATGTAAAAGCAGCTACAATACAACTCTTTGATAAAGTATTGAATTTTTGAAATACCAACCTGCTCTCTGAATGGAATCTGTCAAAATTCTGTCTGATGTGTCATATTCTGTATGGTAAATGTAGCCATTTTCAATAAAAGCCAAATCTATTCCTACAGAAAGAGAAGCAGCATTTTTAAAATCTATGCAATCCTAAAACCCCAAAATAACTATGTGAAAGCCTCCCATATACTTCACAGAAAATGTTGCTCTACTTTGTAACCCAGTCATAATCCTTAGAGATGAACAGAACAGTCTTCTCTGTAGAAAGAAAGCTAACTGGACTTCCAGTGCCTTTAAAAGAGAACAGCTTTCAAACATTTTAAAGCATCTGTCTTTTTGCATGCACCGATTCCCATGACATCTGTATGCCACTGGAGGAACACATGAAAACACCAGATCATCTCAGCTTCAGAAAATATGTACAGGGTGCTTGCCAAGTGTTTACTTGCTCTTCACTGAATGCTCATGCTGAAAAGTAATAAAAAGCAGCACTGTGAAACTACAGAGCACCTTCTCAAAACACCAGGTGTGCTCTTTGTACTTCTAATGTGCAAGCAATTTTTCAGAGAGCCGGACTGAAAATGCTTCATCTCAAAGTCCAAATAAGTTGTTCAAACAAACAAAGGTATTGACCAAAACCCAAAGGTTATTCTGCTTCATTAGTTATACATTCAGTGTATACCATTCACCTGTTCAGCTGCATATGCAAAAAGCTGCCACTTGTAATCTGAATTCTCACAATTTTTGGCTAATTAGGTCTCAATTCTGAGAAACAAACCAGGTTTTTGACTTAGTTTTTTTTTATTGGTTTATAAAAAAGCACCCAGAGGTCAATGAGAAATCATTTACCGTCCAGGTACGATTCTGAACAAAGAAGACATTGTACAAAATCAGCTACTCTATTTTCAGACTAGAAGTGTACTTTAGAACAGTACAGAACATGCCAGAACATCTGCTTTGTACTAACAATCAATTAAAAAATATCTCTTTTCTTGAAAGTAACTCAAATGACAACCTGTCCTGGACAACAAGGACTTTACAGAAGTTTACAGTCTTTTGAAATGTGTCCACATTGAGTGAACATTTCACATTTCTTTCCCACTTTCATTCTCCACAAAAAGGATGGCAACCTGTAAACAGATGAGCAAAACTAAAAAGCTTCTGTCCTGTCCTTGATTATGGAAAAAACAAACAAAACCTGCCAAAACCCCCCTAAAACCAAATCCCCCAAACAAAACAACACCACCAGTAGGAAAAAAAACCAACCCACAACAACCAAACAAAAACAACAAAAAAACCGACCAACAACAAAAAAATCCCAATCAAACAAAAACCAAGGGTAGTGAAAATGCATTAATCATTATGTCACTGTCTCTAAAGAAGATGATTTTGGTTTTTCCATCAGATACAGACATTTAACTCCTGCAGGCAGTTTATTAACATCATTTACCAAAATGTTTCAAAATAGAATATTTGAGTACTGTTAATTCCTGGAGTACTTTCCTGATTTACAGGAAGCTTTTCTACCATGTAGTTCCTTTCTGGAAAGCACCAGTCATCCAAAAACATCCCTAACAAATGATACTATGTTTATTTGTTTATTTATAAACAAACTCAATTTAAAAACTCTTTTCCTTGGAAAGGAACAGGGAAATTCCCTCACAATATGAGAGACAGACAAAATTTGAGGATGTTCAACCACAGAACAGTGTCCTTGTTATAAATGTAATGTGTATTGACATGCCTTTTGATAACATACCTGGAACATTGCCAAAATCCCTGTAGATACGGAAGTCTGTATCTGCTGGGATAATGCCACTCTGAAATATTTCCTGTGCCACCACAGAGGCAAAGGGATGTTTGGCTGCAACTACATATGCTTGCACCAACCAAGGGTTCTCAGGTCCTAACAAAAGATGAGCAGAAAATTCACTGCAAATATTTTTTGAAGTTGAGTTAGGATATGCATCCTCATGGTAATAAATAATTGAAAATAACTCACTGGAGATTTAACACTGTTGCCCCACAGAGCATATAGTAAGTACAATTGTGTTGGATAAGTGACTCACATTTGAGAGAAACAATTAGCTACACCTGAGGAATAAAAAAAACAAGCCACTGTTGATCTCCTGTGCTCAGTGGCAGAGCAGATAAGCCATGTCCCAAAAAGACCCAGCATTAATAAAGAAGTCACAACCTTTAGCCAAGCTTCCAATACATCATGTATGTATCACATATCAATACTGTTGTTTAGAAAAATATCTCTCCCCCTAAAGCATTCAGTGTAAGTAAACAGCTTCAGTACAAGAAAGTCCACAGTCCAGCCTAAAAAACACAGAAGTTCTGCTGGTTCCTCAGCATGAGATGGAGTCCTACTGCCAACATCTTACTCCAAAGATTTTAAAAGAACTGCTGTGAAAAATAAATAGAACATACGAAAGTATGAGTATTAAGATATAGGTACTATTCAAATGTTTTTCCCCTTTTTACCTTGATGTCAAAGGGAAACACAACTTCTATTATTCTGCCCTCCACCGGCTTCCCACCTATGAAGTAACTTCTGTGGCACTGTTTTGCCTGTAACTATCTAAAGACTGAGAACAACTTAACTGCTGCACAGGACTGGGAAAAAGGCAGAGGTTTTCCTGTCTTTTGCTTATGAGTCATTTTCAATATTCCTTCAAGTCTGCATCATTTATTATCAAATTATCCTACTGTAGAAATTGGACACAATACAAGCTCATACCTGTTTGAAAAACAAGTTCTTTTCCTCCTACACCTGCTGCCTCCAGGTTAATAAAAGCTCTGACTGATTTGGCCCACTCATGTTGTGTAATGAAGCCATGACTAGCCTTGATGGGAAAACAAAAAAAATATAGGTCAAATATCTACCAGACAAGCCTAAATGCTATTTTCTATGATTCAAGACTGCATATAACTCAAGACTGCACAAGGCAGATACCACAAACAGATGCAGAAAATGCAAGTCTTCTACTAAAACTAATAGATAATATTCTTAATCCAACTACATTTTTCCCTTTGAAATCATACACATTTTCCTCATAAAAGACAGGTAATCAGTGAATATTTCAAGAGACTAAACACAAGCCATATCTTTCATTTGCTAAGAGTTTTAATATACTACTTTGATGTATAATTTATAATTTTGGCACATTCCTACCTGCAAAATATTTTCTTCTGCACCATTAAATAAGAATATGACAGCATGCTGCAGGGACTCTGATGATTTTGAAAGTGTGTTAAGTATTTCAAGCATCACTGCACAGCTAACAGCATCATCACTGGCACCTTAAAATAATCAGCAAAATAATAAGGCTTACAACTAATGCACAGATTTGCAACAAAGACAAGAGAGGAAAAATGGTTTATGCTATTTCAGTCAATATAACTGCAGTACAATTGTAATAAGCTTTAGTATATTTTCTGGTACTGCTTGTACCCTCTGTCTATACAACTTGAAAGCAACAGCTGAAAGAAAAAATATGTTCAGAAGTTGAGCAAGTGAATTACAAGAGATCAGATCCAACACTACTGCTCAAGAAAAGCAGACTAACCAGGTTACTAGGAAAGCAATGTGATCATTATCTACTTTCCTAAATACTAAGTGAACAAATAAGGATGTAATTTTCATTGACAACATTCTAGAACTTAAAAACATAAACATTCCCACACAAGTCACCCTAAAGCATTCTATACTGTTACAATGCATTCAATTAGGATAAAACCTCTAATTAACAGCTAACAGTGCAAAATAAAGGAATACCAGAAATCACATCTTTAAAATCATCCCATGGTATGAATTAAAACAAAAGATTCTCATCATCAGATGCTTTTCACCACCCTTCTTTCTTTGCAAAAACCCCTCTCACTCTAATCTCTGTTCTCTTTGAGCTTCTTATCCAACATTACAATCTCACACCTCCCATGCCCCACTGGTTTTTTATCTTGATTAAACATCCATCTTTTAGTCAAGCTGTCCAATTTTCCCACTTCCCTCACTTTGGTGGAAGTTTTAGCACCTCCCTATCCTGTTCTAATAAATAAAATTTGGGAGAAAACAGAAATCTAAACTTCATTCCTTTGGGCCTGGGTTGCTAACATGCACTGAGATGCTTACACTGGTATGGTCAGGTCTCACTTGTTAGCTGCTCAAAATGTTTGATTTACACATAAAAAAAAAAAGAAGAGCAGCTTTTCCAAAGCTTGTCCCCAGGCAAAACTTAGGAAGTATCTGCTATGAAAACAACATGTCCCTAATATAAATATAAATCTTACTCTAGATTTTAGCTTTACTTTACTGTATGGAATAAATAAAAATAAAATCTTTCCAATATACCATTCTCTACCCTATTTCTCAGAAATTATGGCCCTGTTCTGACAAAAGTTTTCCATAGATCACCACCCAAATACCTGATTTAAGGCCCTGATTGTCACAGGTTTTCACTAATTTCACAGAATATCACAGAGCATTCTGAGCTGGAGGGGACCTTAATTGCTACCCAAGTTCATCAGGAGTCTGCTCTTAGCCACACTGAGTTCTTTCATTTAAAATGCTGTATTGAAAACTCAGCAGACATGTATAGTTTACAGTGAAGTTAGTAATTTACCTGCCTTGCTGTGACACTAAGAAAAGTAAGTTATTGGCTTCAAGAGCCATACAGATTTACACCTGATAAAAGCAGACACGTTGCTATAGATTATAACACAAACTTGCAGAGAAAATACACCCAGTACCTCATACAGAACAAAACTGACAGGAGGCTGTAACAGATTTTACAGCAGGTATCAGTAAACTAAGAAAACCACATTATGTCTGCAATGATAATTTCAAGGATGTTTTTGCTATCGAGTTTATCAGAAAAGAATCAAATAGGACATATAAACTGAAGACCAGTAGAATCAGAACAAGAGATATGTTTTAGGACTTTACAGTTTATGTTTTTTCCTTCACAAGGAACAGAAACTTTCTAAAATTAATGATTTACTCAGATTTGCCTCATGTATTTTGTATATATATGCACCACAAGAAGATTGTATTTTATTATCTGATTTTCGAATGTGTTACTCACTGATCTTTCAGTCATGCTGATTCTGGTTAAAAGCCCACCTTTTTGGTAACGAAAAAAGGGGCTGTAAGCAAATAGATAAGAGAAATACAGGACAAGAGAAAACAAAAGGTTCTTGCTTAGGTAATGTGCAACTGGCATACTATGAAAACAAAAGGCAGAGCAGCTCCTTGCTGCTATAAAGGGCTAGGCTGCTTTGTGATTAAGAACAAGCACACAGGCAGATTTCTAGCTCCTCTGCAGATTTCTGTAAAATCCTTTACAAATCACTCATGTTTCTGGCATCTCTGTGCAAGCTTGGTGAAATATTTCAGTATCTGAGTAACTGTAAAGAAAATAACTGATGTAAACATAATCCTGTTTTATAACCCACAGAAACTGACACACAATTCACATAGGACATCAATATGAAAACAATTTTTAATTATCATAGTACTGTGTTTGTGAAATATTTTAAGTCTAGGTAGACATACGTAGACTAAACTAGCATCAAAGTAATTAGCATCTTTGCAGTTCCTCAACCACAGAGCGTGTATAATAATCATGCATCTATTAAGCTTAATTTAGGAACTCACACTGTACAAATATGACTGAGGAGAAAGAAAAGTTCTGTATACTATTTATGGGCAGAAAAAGACAGAAGGAGTCCAGCAAAGCTTCATTTCTCTAGCTAATACTCAACTGCTTCCTTAATAATGAAGACTAGTCACATGTGCTAAAGAACAGAAGGTTCACTATCAAAAAAATAAAATATTGCATGGGATGTAAATGAAGAAACTCCAGTAAAAGCTGCATCATTGGTGAGTGCCACCCGTGGGTGTTTTCCAACTGTAATAAGAGGCACATACCTGTGGCTGAGTGTTACAACAAATTTTGTGGTTTAGATCCATACCTTCCTGGCTTTGTTAAACCCACAAATTTACAAAACAGTTTACATCCTTGCTGCAATAACAATTTAAGAGGATTAGATTTAAAAAATATAGAGGAACAAGAGAATAAGAGAGTACACAACAATGAAAGTCAAACTAGCAGTAAAAGATATACATAATGCCAAGGCAGCAGTACCCCAGCCTTTGATCACTACAGTCTTTTGAGGCAGAAGCTTTGAATATGCAAAGAAAAAAAACCTGGCATATCTTAAGCATATCAGACTGAAAATATGAGATACCAGCAAAAGGAGGGGAAAACAGACTTGTTAGTGAGAATGGGCATAGTCTCTGGCACAAAGCATCCTGTGAAAGGAAAATCAGGATTAAATCTGTACAGAAGTATGAAAATACCTGGACCACAGGTGGAAATAGCGCATGAACTATATGCATAAGCAGTGAATTATAAGAAGAACAGATATAACCAAGCTTTCCAGAAATCTAAATAAGCATCTGTAAATTGCTGCCTACCAGAAAGTGAGAGTGAAATCCTGAGTTTAACAGGATCAACCTGTCACTCTAACACAATGAATTTCACTGAGACCAAGTTGACTAGTTGACACATGCATTATTCTAACATGGCTACTTGGTAGGAGAAATCCATGAGCCAAGCTCTGCAGCTCACATAACACACAAAAACATGGAACAAACACACAGACCTACCCGGGGTATTTGGTACGGAATCAAAGTGACAATTGGATAACACTGCATGCTCAGCTCCATTTCGAGGTTCCAGCTTCACTACCACATTGGTTATGTTTGCATAGTAACTAGTAAAACCTCCTAAAAAGTCAATGCTGAAGGAGCCTGTAGGCCTCTGTATGTCTACAGATATCTTGTGAGCATCCGTGCTTTCTCTTTCTATTCCCCTAATTTGTTCTAAGAGGTAGTTAACTGCAAGAACTTCATTTTCTGGACTTCCAACTGTTCTGGGCCCAATTGCTGTAATGTTGTCAAGATATCCCCTGTAAGACATAAATTAAAACTTAAGCATCAATACATTCAACATTTAGTGTGTAACTCATCTACAACTGCAAAATTTTCATATACGGTTCTATTTCAAAACTCAAGGTAAGGAGAGGCTAAAGCCAGTTAGATCATAATGGATATATAGCCCTGATCTTTACTCTGGACTCCTTATCTTAACTACTATGATATTAAGCCATCGTATTGGTTCTCTGGTCTGAACGTATCAATTCAAAAATTAACAGAATGGTGAATGGAGAAGCTAAAGATTTTACCTTTAGCGAGGTTCTGTATGCTCTTTTCTGAATGTCTGAAAAGCACACTTTTATCAAGACATTATACACCTGACGTTAACACTCTAAAAGTGAAATTACACTGACAGTTTTAGTCTTCCCGACGCCTCGGTGACACAACAACTGAAAATTTGCCAAGAGGCTTTCCGAGACACTGAACACTAACGCCAGACTACTAGAACTAAACTACGGGGGACGCGCTGTTCCATCAACTCCGAGCTCTCGCCAAGGCAGACCACCGCACGACCCCTCTGCGAGGGACCGCCACCCATCCCGGTCGCCTCCCACCCGGCGGCCCCGCCGTACCTGGCGCGGGAGGCGCTGAAGTCGCGGGGCCCGGCGACGGCGGGTGAGCGGTTCAGCAGCTGCCGGTGCGACACCTGCGCCAGCGCCCGCAGCCCCAGCAGGTACAGCAGCACCAGCGGCGCCCCCCGCGCCTCGGGCAGCGGCAGCAGCGGCCGCCGCCCGCCCCGCTTCTTCCCGCCCGCGCCGTGGTCGCTGTCCTCCCGCGGCGGCGGCTGGCGGCGGTCGCGCTGTGCGGCAGTAGCGCGGAGCCTCCACACGGCCGTGTCACCGCCGCGCTCCATGGCCGCGCCGCCCGCCGCGCAGCCGCCGTACGAGCAGGAGCTCGGGTCAGAGCGCGGCCCGGCCCCGCCCGCCTCTGACGTGGCGCGGCTGAGGGCCCCGCGGTGGGGATGGCTGCGCAGCCCGCTGATGGGTCGGTTGGTTTGGAAGGGTGGAGCAGGTTACTTGGTCCTACCTTCCTGCCCAAGCCGCAGACGACGTCCAGGACCACATGGGACGGGATTTGGCCATACTGCTCTTGAATATCCCCAGTGAGGGAGACTCCACAGCCTCTCTGGGCAATCTGTTCCAGTGCTCCGTCACCTGCTCTGTAAAGAGGTTGTTCCTCGTGTTCGTGTGGAAATTCCTGTGCATAATTTTCTGACCGTTGGCCTTTTGTCTTTTGCCCTCTTCCCCTATTGCTCAGAGCCCTTGAGAAGAGCCTGGTCCATGCTCTTGGCACTCGCCCTTCAGAGACTTCCAGATACTGATAAAGTCGCCTAGCAGTCATATTTTCTTGAGGATGAACAAGCCCAGCTCTCAGCCTTTCCTCACAAAAGAGGTGTTCCAATTCACCTTTGTTGCTCTCTGCTGGACCTGCTCCAGGAGCTCCATGTCTTTCTTGTCCTCAGGAGCCCATAACTGGGCACAGCCAGTGCGGCTGGGCCTGTCCTTGGCCACACACTGAGGGTGAGAAGCCCTCAGCACTGGTTGCCTTTGGAAAGTGGTGGCCTGTCAGTGGTGAGGCGCTGGGCCCACTGTCCAGCCAGAGCTCCAGGGTCAGCATCTGCCAGACTCTGACCAAAAGACTGTCCTGTGCATTACGTGCTGCATCTCCTCACTTGCAAAGGTTTGCAAGGCTTTCCCCAGGCTTCCTGATTATTTTAGTTGTTTCAGTTGGTTGGTTTTGTTTTCATTAAAACAGAAAGCTCACAGCAGTAACAGTGGTGCCATGCGGGGGAGCATCAGAGTGCCACACTAACTCTCTAACCCTAAAAATCATGAAGTTACAGCACCGGTGGCTCTTGCAGGGTCTCCCCCTCCACTGCATTGTATCTTTGGCATTTCATAGCTGTAGCAGTGTCCAGACTGGAGCTCAGGTAGGCTGGGGTGCAGAGCAATAGTGCCAGGAGGTGGTAGTGAATAGTGGTTTCCAGTGAACTCATGCCATGGAGAGCACGTGCAACGATGGGGCCTGAGTAGTGACAAGGACCATCACTCATGCAGCACTCCACATGCTTCTCCTAGGGACAGAACACTTCTGCCTACTCTCACACTGTGTTTGAATGATGGCACAGACCAGCTTATGGCCATTTTCCCTGTTTATCATACTGTTTTCCAGTGTTCTTCATAATTTTTGAAGATATCCTAGAAGATACTTATTTTTTGCTGCTTTGTGATGTAATCTGGAAACAAAATATGTAATGATCTAGAGAACTGGCAGTTGCAATATCCAGTGATGCACGTAAACACTGAACACTGCTGCTTTCTACCCTGCCCTTGTTGCCAAATGAAAACTAATAGCATTTGTAATACTCTTTGGAGTTGAAAAGTCTGAAGAAAGTGGTGGGCTGAAAGGTGATGACTATGCTCTCTGCACACCCCAGGTTCTTTAGGAAATTTCCATACTCAGGCTTAGCAAATTTTCTTATTTGCATCACTGCATCCTCAGTACATACAAGATTACTGATGACAATTTTGATTTATAACTCCAGATTACACTACAACCCAGTAAGATAGACCTAGGTTGAAAAGCTTGGTTTACTCTGTTTTGTTCCGTTTTTCTTCCTTTCTGCTTTTGTCTCATGTATGAGCAGACAAATATACCTACAGTTTAGGTTCTCAAAAGCAGATTTTACATTAGAAACTACTAGGAAAAATGTCAATATATTTTTTTTATTAAAAATACCAGTGTAGAATTAATCCAGTGAAAGGCTTTCAACAGAAATAACAAAGCAAAACAAAAAATCAAATGTGATCCCCCAATATGTCAATATTTCTATTCCCAATATTGAATGGAAACTGCCCTTTGACAATGTCATATTAACCTGTATGATGTTGAGGTAATATTATTAATATACATAAGAAAAAGTGATTTTAAAGAAAGACAGGCTTGCTATTGAGTGTAGGTCTCTATTTCTCCTTTGAAATTCTTATGTAAGTCTTGAAATTATATAGAGAAGGCAATCAAGGATCAAATACAGACTTTCTTCTCTTACTTTGATTTCATGGATAGTATCATCAGTGTCAAAGTACTGAGAGCCACCACTCCTGAAATCTCACCTAAGCAGGGCCAGGGGCTCTCCAACATATTTTGCTTTGTATCAATTTTACTATGCTTACATTATTGATCTGAAGCATTATGCACAGTTAGAGAAATAGGAGCTACACATCATTTATTTCTTTTGGCTTTAGGCATACATGAGGATTGGAGCTGTAGAAAAATGTCATTGTTTTCTTAATGGTCTTCTATTCTTTGGGAAATATTTGAATATTAAACCACTCCCTGTTAAGAAAAAGTCTTGACTGTACTGAATTTGGTGACAGTCATACTCTTATCAATCAAAACAATTTTAAAAATTCTGTCAATTCAAAATTCAGAAGTAATTTTCTGCTTTAGATCAGTAAGATTTCATATGTTTGAAATACCGACAGCCCTTTTTATCATCTGTTCTGAGCACTGCATTTGGGAGGGCACCGTGCGGTGTGAATTAGGCTGGAATTATAGTACTTACATGTTTTGACATGACTGTAATATCAAGGTCAAATACATCAACAAACACAGTGCCCTTTATTGCTCTGTTAGTCTGGAATGACCAATTTCAGGTAATTGGATCTAATTTCCAATCAAATTATTCAGCATAAATTCAGTTTGACTTTATGTCAAGAAGGCTGGTGTTTAACATAGTATCTTGCAATCCCACTGGTTCATTTTGTCAGCTCACAACAGAGGAAAATCCCATGTTCACTGAGCATTAATCATATTTGTAAACCGTGTTTTAAGCAGAAGGAAAAAGACAATTCCTTACTGATGAGGACTATGGGTTGGATTTGTTTTCTAGTTGAGTAGCAAAAGCAAGTTAAGTCATAGCAGGTTAGCATTCTTGCTTAACAGAAAAATACAGATATGAATGTTTTTATACACTGAGGCCACCATAAGCTATCTAGGGCAAGAGAACTATAACACTATCTTAAGAAGAGCATTCAGTTTTGTTTAAAAATAAACAGTGATGAAATAATAGGTAAGTTGTTCCCATTGTCACCTTTCTTATTCAAACATGACTTACTTGTAGTATTAATTTCTTAGCTTCCATTCTCTATCCATTGAATCTTCTTACATCATTGACCAATAAATTGAAAATCCATTTGTTACAAGATTTCTAGTCCAGTGTAGATATTAATACATCATGATCAAGATCCCTCTTACATTCATCTTCAAGTTTAAGTTTTATAAACTGCTGATTTTCCAGCTCTTTCATCCTCCTGCTAACCATTCTGATGGTTTCAAGCTTTCTAGTAAATTTCCTACATTGCTAAACCAAAGAAGTAGTATTACAGCACCTACACCAGTGACACATACAAAGGTAAAATCATTGCTTCTCTGCAGGGAGAGAGAGATGTTTATTTGCTTTAACACAAGCATGTTGCCACAGCTTTGAAATGACAGTTCTGCCCAGCTCTTTTGGGAATCTGGTTCTGTCACTGCAGCATGTTCCAGCCATCCACTCAGTGTCCCACAGCTTATCTGACAGACCAACTTTCAATGAAATTTGGACTCAAGAGGAAATCCTGTGAGGAAAAAAAAATCAGATTTTACATTCTGAGTTTCCAGGGCCTTTTATATCAGCATTTCCTTAGTGACACATGTGGGCTTGAAAAAATCTCGCTTCCCTGCACAGAAGGAGGTGTTGGATCCCTGAGCCTTCCTGCTGCAACAGAGCTAGATCTTTACTCCTCCCTCAGGCACACATCTTTCATCTCTTCAACCATTTACGCAGGAATTACCTCACTCCTGTAACCACAGGGTTGTAACTAGAAGCTCATATTAAATCAATTTTCTGCTCTGTCTTCAAGGTGCGTTTTTTGGTCACTGCTACCAACAGTCCAGTTCCCATCGCCTAATTGTGGCCTGGTTCTCATTCTGTGTACTGCAAACTTTGTAAGCATTCAGTATTGCTGAGTAAACATACATTCTTCTTCATTATGTTGCCATCCTAGTCTTAAAAATGAAACTAGGAAGAATATTTTAAGGCCTCAATGCAAGAAACTATCCTTATAGAAATACAGGGCAGCCTTGGGTAGCCTTGTAATCAGTTCAATACAAGCAGCTGTTCATTCTAAAAACTCTCCTATACAGGCACACTTCATGCTGTCAAGGAGATTGACACTTCTCAGACTTTATTTCCTCACTTTATCATACCTCCACAAAACAGCACCAATGTCAGTGTGTTGCAAGCTAGCTTAAGAAAATAGCATGGGAAGTCTAATGAGCTTATGTCCCTTAATGTTGGTGTTCTTAGCTGAATACTTGTAAAAATCCTTCCCAAACATCAACTAAAGGGAATTTAGGGATAATTTAGCCAAACACATCCATCTCTTTCCTAAGGTATGAGGATAGAAAATACCTCAATGGAACTCCAGACATACCCAAGAACTGGGCATTTTCACCTTCATGCTATAATTAAAGCAGAATGATAAAACCCTAGTCACTCTTCAGAACAGGAAGTGGAAGAAGCCACCCACAGATGCTAGATTGATAGGGCACAGAGAGACTCTTGTTTGCATCAGCACTGTACTTAACCATTTTGTTTTGATAAGCTTAGGCAGTGCATTTCCCTCTTCTCTGTTTAGCAGTACTCATTTCCTGTGCCCCCTCTCCTTCTTACCCTATAATTTTGTAATGGAAGCTATAATCACACCTAAGAATTACACAGAGAAAATGAACAGATTATTGCTTGTTGAAAAACAAAACAAACAACCTTTGTCTAGATAAATATACCTTCCATTTGCATCCAGTTCAGGC